TAAATAATATAAAAAATTTAAATTAAATCATAATTAAATTAATTAATACGATTTGAATCGATTTAATAAGTACAGAGCAAAGATTCCAGAGGGCGGGCTGTTGAAAAGGGGTGGTACAAACTAGAGAGAGGCGACAATAGTAGCCAAATAAGGGCAACAGTGAGGGCAGAGGGGCCACAAAGGTCAGAGGCAGCATTTGTTTGGAATGGGTGACGCCCGAGGGTCGGTGATGCGCAGGCAATTTAAGGGCAACGTCGATAGTAAAACTTCTCACGACAATAGTTAAAAAAAAAAAATAGTTTTTGAGAATAATATTTTATTTATTTTTAAAAAATTATCAAATTTTTTTAAATTTATTTTTCAAAATAATAAGCCAAAAAAACTTGTCACTTATTTCAGTTTTTTAAGAACGAAAAAGAGCTTTCAAAGTATATGTTTTCTGTTTCCGCTTTTGAAAATGATTTCTGAGAATTGTTCTCTAAAATCAAAAAAACAGTTTCCAAAATAAAGCCAAAGTGAGCCATAGCTCACCGTGGTATTATATTTTATTCTAGTAGACACGAGGAAAATATTTTCTGCACAAAAACGTGCAAAATATGCTTTCGAGTGGTTGTACCCTCTGGCGGACATTTTGTGCCAGAGATCTTTGCGCAGGGAACTGTGGTTGACTCCTTTCAAACCAAAGATGTTTACTCAGGGAATCCAAACGCGGCCCTTACTCTGACAGCTGCTAAGGGTGTAGTTCGGTAATCCAGCCCCAAACCTAACGCCTCCTCGTCACACACCACCCAACACCCAGCACCGAGAGACTCAACCCAAGAAAAACATAATATATTCCCATATTCAATACATGCGTATACATTCATCAGCCGCCCCTCTCTCGTTCGGGGTGTCGAAACGGAGAGGCAGGTTTCAAGCTCCCCACCTGGTTCTTTTTTCAAACCCTCTCTCTCTCTATCTTCATCGTCTCTCTTTCTCGAGCCTTTCATCGTCCCACAAATATCTCATATTCCGGTAAATTCTCCAGTCTGTTTGCCTTGTGGTCTTTTCGCTTTATTCCCATAAGAAATCGAATCGATTCTATCACTTTCTCTAACGTCAAGCGCCCCAATGGATTCTTTGGCTACCCATTTGCGTAAACCGGAGTATTTTGCTTCTTCATCGCCCTGGAGTTTGCTCTAGACCATGAGAAAGGTTTGGTTGTGTTTTAAAACCTTAGATTGGGGTGTAATCTGATATTTTTTATTGCAATGGGTAGCAGAGATTTCGTGGTTGTGAAGGGTAAGCAAGATGGGTTTTCCCCTGGTTCTGAGTTGCGGATTCAATGGAGTCTCCCAGAGGGTGCTTTCCCTGGCGGAGGCCTTTTTGCCAGCGTTGGCCAAATGGGCAATATGGGTTTTGGCATGTCACCCAATTCCCCGGATTCTCGAGACAACAATGGCGGATTCAAGCTTCCTTACACAGATTTGTACGTGAAGTACGTGTCTTCGCCGGAGGGGTTTCGAATTGTCGGTGTTCCAGATGGGACTGAAGAGGAGGGCCTGAAGAGGAAGAAGAAGAATGGGCTGAGACTAAAAAATTAAGGTGGCTAACCCTCATTGAGAAGGCTCATAAGCGGTGCAATTGCTGGGGCGGTGTCTCGGACGGCCGTAGCCCCATTGGAGACCATCCGGACGCATTTGATGGTAGGCAGCAGTGGACATTCTACTACTGAAGTGTCCACAATATTATGAAGAGCGATGGGTGGCCAGCTTGTTTAGGGGCAATCTTGTGAATGTGATTAGAGTTGCACCAAGCAAAGCTATTGAGGTAAAACTGAATGTTGATTCCTTATTTCACCCTTTCCATGGTTTGGCTACTTTTACGTTTGTCACCTCGATTTCTGCTCAGTTTTGGGAGGTCCATAGAATTAATTTTCAGTTAGTTTACTGGTTTAGGCAAGCTTGTATGACTTAGCTTCTTAATTTATCTGTGCGAAATTATGAGTTTGTCTGCTATTACCATATAACAATAGCTAGCTTTAGAACTATTGCAGCAACTTAAATTTTTGTGTCAACTCTTTTGGAGCAGTTCCCTCTGAGAATGCACTTTGCTTGCTCATTTCTTGTGCATGTTTGTTTGATCAATGTGGTAAGTTTTCCATTAACATTTAAATGTGATGACCCTTGAATGCCTGTTCTAGCTGATTGATTTGGTTTTCTGGGGTGACAACACATTTGTTTTACTTCAAGCTCTCATTCTTCTGTTGGCTGTTGCAATTAATTCTAAGATCTCCACTCTTACTGTGACCTACAGATCTAGACTTGTATCAATTTGAATAATTGGCTCTTTTAACTTGTGAGAAACTAGCATTACATTCAAAATATTTATAATTTGGTGGTTGTATCCCAATTCATATAAAATTGAGGCTATATTATGCCTTTTCTGTAAATTTCAAAGTAGTTCAATGTGTTCAACTTAATGAACAGTCTATAGATATGAGACTTGTCATTCTGAACCTGTCACTGGTTTATTGCAAAGCCAAAAAGTTAAAAATTACCTATAAAATCCTTCTAATGACATCTAGGACTTTTGATTAGACCATCAGACCATTTTGGGACATTGGTTGTCAATAACAGTTGCACACCCAGAGACACCTGATGCCTTTTATTCAATGATCTGTCAACACGCTCCACTTCCCAACAAGTTACAACCAATATTCGAAAAACTGGACTATTCATCCAACCAAAGAAGTTACAATTTCATGGTTTACCAGTCCAACCATAATCAAACCACAATGAATTGTGACTTCATAATTATCTATGTACTATATAACAAACCATCAATCAACAATAATTATCTACAACGATTAAAATCTCTACAATTAAAAAAAAAAATCATTATCTATGATACCATCAATTGACATTCATGATTCAACCATTATAGTGCACACAAACAGAAATGACAAACATCAATCCATCATTCAAAATTTGATTCCAAGCATTATCATTTTTTTTTTCACGGACTGAAGGCACGGTACCATGGGAATTAGTACTAGAACCTGGCCTAGAACTAGAATCCATTATCCTACCTAAAGTTCATTACAATCCGCACCACACTGAACTCCCATAGTCTATAATGACAAGCTTCTCCTGCACAATCAGTGATTCTTCTACCAAAAGTTTTAACTTCTAAATATAAGAAATAAAAACCAAAACAAGAAAAAAAAAATGATAAGAATTGGGAGAAGAGACATTCTTACCCTGGGACTTGGAGATTGGAGAAGCCTGCCTGGACTTAGAGATGATGCTTGACGGTGACTGGAAGGCAGAGCTACAGAGGCAACGGTGGATCCAGAGCCACTGAGGCACAGAGGATCATGGTGGATTGAAAAGTGGCTGAGCATTCTGCTGTCTGCTGTGATGTAGCGAAGAAGCAGTGGCAAATCTGAGGAGGAGGAGGAGGAGGAAGAAGAAGAAAGAAGAAGTGGCGAGGTGGCAGCAGTGCAAAGCAGCACCAGCAGCAGCGAGGTGATGAAGTGAAGTAGCAGAAGCAGACTGTTAGGTTTTGACTATTTGACTTAGGGGCTGAGGGTGTGTTTGGAAAGAAATGGAATAAAAACTGAAAATTTGGCAGAAAAAGAAATATATATATATATATATATATATAAGACTGTTCTACTTCCACTGAAATGCGAACGGTTCACCAGTCCAAACAGTTGGACTACTGGTTTGGATGGTTTTCGCTAAATACCGCCTTTTTTTTCAGCTTTTACTGGTTTTTGGTAAAAGTTTGATTATAAATACATGTAATATGGCCTTTTCCTTCATTTCATGTTAGTTTTAGCTACACTTATGGAGAGTAACCTCCTGTTCCTTTATAAATAAATGTAGAAATGTAAATCACATTTGATGTGGGAGAGACAGAAGCTAAAATAGATAAAGAGAATGGAGCACAGTGAAATTCACTTGTTAATTTCATTGTTTGATTGGGAAAGAAGGTTGGAAACAAACTAAGAAACTGTCAATTAGTTTATGCGGTTTTACCTTGTAGCTGATCATGTTGTACCCTTAAACAGCTCCCGTCGCACCTGGGCCCAATTTCTCCTTTTTTGTGGTGCATACTGCTAAAAATGCTATAATTTGTTATATTTTCTTACATTTCCTTTTTTCTTTTGCTTCCATGGTAGAAATGCAGATGAAAAATTCTGGTCCTTTCATCCCTGCCAAGTATATCATTTAACTTTTAGCTTTTGTTTGTCTACCCTCCAACTTTTTGAAACAACTATACTGGATTCTCTTTTAATATTCTTTTCATTCTTGTTCACTTTTGTGAAGTATCATAGTTGTCTCCAATGCAAGAATGTAAGTCACTATTGCTCTAGCCTTTTTATATTCTTTGTTTGCAAGCAAGTACCTGAAGGTTGGGATTAGATATGTCAAAAACTAAAACTAGGGTTATATGATGTCAAACTGTGGTTTTGCCAGAATATATGATTTTACCTTTTGTGGTGCCCAGTTTGCATGCCAAAGTACATGCATCTGGTTTTCCAATACCTGTTTGCAAAGCCTTCTTTTGAGTAAGGCAATATAAAGTTAGGGGTGTTTGGTTTGAAGATGTTTTGGTTTTTTTTTTTTTTGGTTGTGGAAGAAAAATCCTAGATTTGTAGTGTTAGATTTGTTCTAAACACTAGCCTCCTGTTGTTGGTTATCCAAAAAATGTCATGCACAGACATAGAAAAAAAAAATTTTAAATAGATAATTTTTTTACTGTCTCTCTTCTTACAATGGGCTACATTTGAATGTTGAAAGAAAAACAAACAACTAAAAGAAATTAACTCAAAATACCTATGAAACTAGTAAAACTAGTTTCTGAAAAAGCTGGATTTTTGTTTTTCTTTTTTTTCTTTTTTTCTTTTGGTTTCTAACATTTTTTGTGCTGAACCAAACTGTTTGAAAAGCAAGAAATGGAACTTGAAAACATAAGTATTTTTGGGTGAACCAAATAGCCACTTAGGTTTCCTCTATCCCATATCAATGTTGGTTTGTCCCAACCATACAGTTTCCTCAATGGGCCATTCCTCTATTTTTGCATGTTTGTACAGGTTCTATCTTCATTGCATGTGGCAAGAATGCTATTATTGGTTTCCTCTTATTTGTCTACCTGAATCTTGAAGCCATGTTCTTGCAATCTATCTTGAGCGAGCAAGTTCCTTATTTTCCCCATTGAGATTTTTTTTTTTTTTTTTTTTTAACTATCAGTTTTTTTTTTTTTTTTTTGGGTTATCAGAACTAGAATTGGAACTATGGTTCCTGATCTCCTTGATGCTTTTAACTTTTTGTTTGATTAGTCCACACACTAATATCTCTGCAGCCAAAGTCCATGTAACAAGCAAATGAAATGGTCATGCTTGCCATTCTTGTTTTCAACTATGTTGTTGGAAAAAAGTGCTACTTTACTTTCTGTAATCAATTAGTAAAGTTGTGGTTGTCTTACAGCTTATCTGATTTGGAAATAGTGTTCCTGTAGAGTGAAAGCATACCTACTTCACCATAGAAATGGAATTATTTTGCAATAAGTTTGGTCTCAGGAACCAAAGAGATTAAATTTCATGACAGTGCCTTCTGCCAGCTTCCCACTTTGAAAAATTGATCTCTCTTTCAGGAATTACCTTCTATTTCGTAACAATTACAAATTTAGAATAGAAAATGACGTGACCCTGGTGTTTGGCAAATTTCAAGCTTAAAATCTGGCTGATAATGCTTGACTAGAAATCAAGTTTAAATTCAGCACACCAGCTTTGCTAGTTTTCTAAACTGAGATTGCGTTCACCATTAAGGAAATCTAAGCTTAAAAACTCTGGTTAATAATGCCTTGATTTGAATCAAGTTTAAGTTTAGCAGCCATTATCTTCACTAGTTTCTGTACCGCTAATGCATGGTATTGAATATTAACCCCTCTCTCTCTCCCTCTCTCTCTCTCTCTCTCTCTCTCTCTCTAGTTGTTTGCTTATGATACAGTCAACAAGATGTTGTCCCCCAGACCTGGGAACAGCCAAAGATTCCATCCCTGCCTCACTAGTTGCTGGAGCCTGTGCTGAGTTAGCTCTACCCTCATTACATATCCACTTGAGCTGCTCAAGACACGCTTAACCATACAGGTAAATTCGTTCCCTGAAGTTGTGCTATATACTAAAGTACGTCTTTGGACCTGAAACTTTGAATACTAAAACTAACCATGCTGACTGAGTTGTGTTGATGCAGAGAGGTGTTTATGATGGTCTATTGGATGCATTTGTAAAAATTTTGCAAGAAGGGGGGCCAGGGGAGCTGTACAGAGGTCTCACCCCAAGTCTTATTGGGGTAATCCCATATTCTGCCACGAATTACTTTGCCTATGATACATTACGAAAAGCATACCGGAAAATCTTCAAGCAGGAGAAGATTGGCAACATTGAAACCCTTTTGATTGGATCTGCTGCTGGCGCTATATCAAGTAGTGCTACTTTCCCGCTAGAAGTAGCTCGCAAGCACATGCAAGTAGGAGCTCTCAGTGGGAGACAGGTGTACAAGAATGTGCTCCATGCACTCTCTAGCATACTTGAACAAGAAGGGGTCCAGGGTTTGTACAAGGGCCTTGGTCCTAGCTGCATGAAGTTGGTGCCGGCAGCTGGGATTTCGTTCATGTGTTATGAAGCTTGCAAGAGGATACTGGTAGAAAATGAAGAGGATGCATAGATGAGGTGATTCAAAGAATAAAAGGAATTGAGTTGACGCAATGTGCAATGTTGAGCATGATACCTTGAGTTAGGATACAACATTATTTGTGGTTAATTAATCATCCCATACTTTTTGTCCAACGGATTATGCAAGTTAAGATTTTGTTTTAAGACTAATAAGGTGACTTCAATTCCTTGGTTTGGAAATGGGCTTGATTGTGCACTTTGAGAGCGAAATGAAAATAACCTGGTTGAGAAGCTTTGGCAAACCATCCGGGTTTTGCAACTTCATTTTGATTAATATTATTATTACATGGAAAGCTCATTCCTAGATGTGTTCCCTTTGTATTTGGTTGTAGTATTTACTTATGTGACAGACAAAAGGGTTTCTGTCTTAATAGAAGTCTGTGCTTTGATTATATTACCTCATTTGTAATTCATATATAATTTCTTAACTTTTTTATTTAAAAAAGGGCCGTCTAGATTAGCATTTTTCCTAGTTCAAGAGGGTCAACTACCCGGTCAAGGAGACTAAACTCGGACCAAGAACCTCTTTTGCCAGATCTTCAATATAGCTGTCTTACAATTCACCGACTTTCATTATAAAATGTTTAATTTCCGGAATGGTTGGGGGTAGGCCTGTTCATGGGCCTTGAACCGGCCCGGACCGGAACCGGACCACCGGTTCCGGTCCCGAAAAAATGTGAATCGGGACCAGAACCTTGAAAGTCAATCCGATTCCGATTACGGTTCATGCCGGTTCCAAGCCGGTTCGTTCACAGTTCCGGTTCCGGTTCGTTTACGGTTCGATTCACGGTTTGGTTTTCGGTTCCTAGTTCGTTCACGGTTCGATTTCCGGTTCGTTCACGGTTCAGTTCCCGGTTCAATTCACGGTTCGATTTCCAGTTCGATTCAATTTCGTTCATTCACGGTTCAATTCGGTTCCAATTTGATTTTACCAAAAAAAATTATTTATTAACTTATAAATCATTTGAAATTTTTTAAATAATCTATTTCTAATTTATTTAAACTATTAAACATTGAAAAATAAATTTTCTTTTATATATATATATAAATTAGCTACTTTAATTTATTGACTAATGAATGAAACTCATAACTCTTCTAACCTTTTATTACATATAATTAGGGGTGTGCAAACCACAATTTTGATTTGATTTTTGATAATTTGATTTTGTTTTTTGATTTTTTTTTTGTTTTAATACTTTAAAATAAATTATTTATTATCAAATATGTATATATATGCAAGTATATGTATGTGTGTGTGTATATACTTGTATATACATACATACATATATGTATATATTCATGTGTGTGTGTGTATATACTCATATAAACATAAAAATATATATGTATACGTGTATACGTACACATACATATATGGGTATATATAAACCATAATATTGGTTTAGTTTTTGATAATTGAGTTTGATTTTTTGTTTTAATATTTTAGAAACCAATTAATTTAATTTAATTATAAATCAAACTAAACTAAACTTAAAATTTCAATATGCATATGTATATATATTAACATGTATATATATTTCTATATATATACATAACATATATATTTGTGTATATGTATATATATTAACATATATATATTCATAAAAATATAGAAATATATATGTGTTTGTGTGTGTGTATGCATAAATACGTAAATACATATATTTACCTATTTATATATGTATACATACGTACATACATACATATTTATATATATTTACATGTGTGTGTGCGTGCATGTGTGTGTATATATGTATATATTTATATATAATATAAATATATGTATATGTATATATATTTATATTTATATGAGTGGATAAAATTTATACATATGTGTATTTATATAAGTACATATGTATCATGTATGTATGTGTGTTTGTGTACACACATATATATGTTCATATAAATATATGAACGTGTGTGTGTATTTTTTTATGAAATAAAAATATTTTTAAAATTTTGGTTTTTAGTTTAGAATGGTTTAGTTTGGTTTTTAAACCAAACCAAATCATAAATTTGAATTATTTTTTTAATACAAACCAAACCAAACTAAATTTAAAAACACCAAACCAAATTATAAAAATTAGTTTGGTTAATTGGTTTGGTTTTGCACACCCCTATGTACAATGTATTTCATTTTAAATTTAAATAAAAAATAAAAATATTTTAAATAATAAAAATTAAACTTTTAAAATGCTAAATATTTTACGGTTCATTATGGTTCCGGTTCACGGTTCATAGTTCACGGTTCACAGTTCACGGTTCATTACTGGTTCCGGTTTATGGTTCATTCACAGTTCGTATACGGTTCCGGTTCACGGTTCGTACATGATTCCGATTCACGATTCACGGTTAACGGTTCATTCCCGGTTCCGGTTCATCCGGTTCGTTCACGGTTCCGGTCCAGTTCCGGTTCAGGTTCAAAAACAATGTGAACCTTAACTGGACCGCGAACCTTCACGGTTCAGAACCGGACCGGATCGGATATTAACGGTCCGGTCCGGTCCGGTCCGATTTTTTCCTGGTCCGGTCCGGGTCGGTTCACAGTTCAAACCTGAACCGTGAACAGGGCTAGTTGGGGGAGATTTGTGTCGATAAGTCTTGTCTTCTGGTAGTTTTTACAAAGGGTTCTCATTATTCAGTTTAGTTTTGTTTAATGTTTAAAATTAAATTATTTTATATTTTATAATTTGTAATTTTTAGAAATTAAATTAAATCATAGTTTATAATTTGATTCGATTTCAAATTATAGTTTATGATTTTCAAAAATAAAGTTGATTAAATTTATTATTTTATAAAAATTTTGACAAAATTTTTCAAAAAATGAGACATTAAAAAAAATTTTCAACATGTTTAATTAAACAAATTTATCATTTATTAACTAATTAAAGTAGCTACACATCATGCAATTAATATATTTATACAATATAATAGAGTTGAAATTATAATAATGAAATCACTTTTTAAAAAACAAAAATAAGCAACCATTAGAATAAGTATAAATATAAAATATAATAGAAAGAAGTATACAATCAAATAGTAAAAATAAACTATATATATAAAGACAAAATTTTTAATTATATATATATAAACTACATGATTTGTTTTAGTTTATATGATTTATTTAAACATCAGATATTAAATTAAACTATATCTCATTTTAAACTAAACCAGAACAAATTACAATTTTATTAGTCTAAATGATTTAGTCCAATTTGTTAACCACTCTTAATTATCACTATTACCAAACTCATCTTATTAAATAAGAAATTCCATAGTAATTTGCCATGCCAAACCATATCATCTTCCTTGTCGGTCAAATTGGTATGGGTCTGAGAGAGATCGAACTATTGTTGCTTCAGAAGCTGGCAATGGTGAATTAAGGAGACTACAGTTCCATGGGTTCGAGTCTGTATCCATTAAAATCCCATTGGATCAGGTGGCGCTCTGGGTGCTAATGGCAACGAATTCAAGGTTGATATTCGAGAACACTTGGAAGTTCAGGGTTAAGTCAATTAGAAGTTGTTGGGCTAAATTGAAATTACAAGGACACTTGGCGGTATTTAGAAAAGCCCAGTGGACTTTTCTCCTAAAAAAAATCGATAGTTCTTAAAGCCCAGCGCTTTATTTCTTCATTTTTTTAAAAAAATGAGAAATTTAAAATTCAAGGTGCAATTTTCTGTGTTAGAAACCGAAAAATTAAAAATTGTAGGCTATATCCTAACATTTTAAAAGCTCAAAAGTCAACTTTAAAAGTCCACAAAACTTTGATGCCAAACAAGTTAAAAAGCCCAGCGCATTACATCCCACCCAGAATAAGAAAAAATAAATAAATAAAGCAAAAACTGATGAATGAAACTTGAATCATAATAGTAACCAATAAAAACAGGAGAAACCTGAATCATAATACAAGGACACAGTTGGAGATCCAAGTAACTTCGCTTTCATTTCCAGAAGGAATTACTTCCACCTGGGTCAATTGTTCTTTATAAGAATCATAAAGCTGCAAAACACCACCAAAAGGAATTCTAGAAGTTTCTAAGGACCCAAAATAAACACTTACGCTTCCCAAGTAACAAAATTCAACAGAACAGCAAAAATACACAAGGTCGCTCTCTCTACTCTGTCCAAAGTGTTGTTCACCCCCAACATCCACTTTCAACATTAGTACAAACATCACTAAGACCTTGCATGTGATTTCTTCAACGCAGGTCTCCCTTTGTTATTTACAAAGGGGCAAGCACAATCAAGAAAGACTTGGCTTACCCAAATAAAATAATTTGCCACTAAAAACAGTGGAAAAAAGAATCTAGCAATTGATGCCACATTGACCTTTCGAAGCTGTTTTTGTAGAATCGGAGGTAAAGGGATCGATTCGCACCCAAAGCAAGGAGAATATCGAAGCAAGAAGAATGGACCAGACAATGACAATTGTAGGTGTACGATTTTGGCGACCCAATAAACCTTTGAGGAAGGGATACAAGTGAACGATCACCCAAAGAGAGAAGAAGAGCTTGCCAAATAATGGCCCCCAGGACTGGTACCCGCTATTTATGGCAAAGGAAACGCCAGCCACTATACCCACCAAGTTCACAACAAGCACCGTGGTTGGAGGGATGAGAAGAGATGTCCATTTGAACACATAAAGCTCAGCAAACTCTCCATCCTCGTCAGAAGCCTTTGAGGTGACAGTGAAGTTAGTGTCAATGCCGGCAAGAACTTTGAGGAGCCCCTGGAACACAGCAAACAGATGTGCCGAAGTACCACCAATGACCCAGAACTGCTCATTTCTCCACCAGTCTTCAATACTCACACCACTCCACCTAAGCTCCAATATTCCAGTGGCAAAAATCGATATGAACAAAAGAATGAACCACATACTAGCGTAATTGCTTATCTGCCATGAATAAAAATCCCAACCACTCATAAGGAATGACAACAAGTATCAAATAAAATGCCAAGAAAACATTGTAACTCCTAGGCTTAACACTTCAA